CACACTCAGTGTGAGACCATCACACAAGAAACTCACACTCAGTGTGAGACCATCACACAAGGAACTCACACTCAGTGTAAGACCATCACACAAGGAACTCTCACTCAGTGTGAGACCATCACACAAGGAATTCACACTCAGTGTGAGACCATCACACAAGAAACTCACACTCAGTGTGAGACCATCACACAAGGAAGTCACTCAGTGTGAGACCATCACACAAAGAACCCACACTCAGTGTGAGACCATCACACAAGGAACTCACACTCAGTGTGAGACCATCACACAAGGAACTCACACTTAGTGTGAGACCATCACACAAGAAACTCACACTCAGTGTGAGACCATCACACAAGGAACTCACACTCAGTGTGAGACCATCACACAAGAAACTCACACTCAGTGTGAGACCATCACACTCGGAACTCACACTCAGGGTGAGACCATCACACAAGGAATTCACACTCAGTGTGAGACCATCACACAAGGAACTCACACTCAGTGTGAGACCATCACACAAGGAACTCACTCAGCGTGAGACCATCACACAAGGAACTCACACTCAGTGTGAGACCATCACACAAGGAACTTACACTCAGTGTGAGACCATCACACAAGGAACTCACACTCAGTGTGAGACCATCACACAAGGAACTCACACGCAGTGTGAGACCATCACACAAGAAACTCACACTCAGTGTGAGACCATCACACAAAAAACTCACACTCAGTGTGAGACCATCACACAAAAAACTCACACTCAGTGTGAGACCATCACACAAGAAACTCACACTCAGTGTGAGACCATCACACAAAAAACTCACACTCAGTGTGAGACAATCACACAAGGAACTCACACTCAGTGTGAGACCATCACACAAGAAACTCACACTCAGTGTGAGACCATCACACAAGGAACTCACACTCAGTGTGAGACAATCACACAAGGAACTCACACTCAGTGTGAGACAATCACACTGGGAACTCACACTCAGTGTGAGACCATCACACTAGGAACTCTCACTCAGTGTGAGACCATCACACTCGGAACTCACACTCAGTGTGAGACCATCACACAAGAAACTCACACTCAGTGTGAGACCATCACACAAGGAACTCACACTCAGTGTGAGACCATCACACAAGGAACTCACATTCAGTGTGAGACCATCACACAAGAAACTCACACTCAGTGTGAGACCATCACACAAGAAACTCACACTCAGTGTGTGAGACCATCATACAAGAAACTCACACTCAGTGAGAGACCATCACACTGGGAACTCACACTCAGTGTGAGACCATCACACTAGGAACTCTCACTCAGTGTGAGACCATCACGCTAGGATCTCACACTCAGTGTGAAACATGATACAATATAATGAAAGTTAATATGAAATCAGACAAACCAAGGAACTCTGATTGTCAGTCATTTTGGGAGTTTCTGGAGACTTAAGCACATGAACTTTTTTTCTTCTCCTTCCGATAACATCTTCATCGTCATCATCATCATCATCATCATCAAAGTGATTCAAATGTGGTGAGTCTAAATAAATAATAATAAACTATTCTAAAACATGGGATCTTCAAATAATGTAAGTGTTATGTAGACAGGGTACACAAAAATGTATGTGAGGTTTGACATTTTCTGTTGGTGACAGGCAGTTGGTGTCAAAAACCAGAACCTAATCATTCCAGAAGATATGGTGCAGGTACAACTTTTCCCCCACTTCTATTCACCTGGTATTACACCATAATTTTGTTATAATTGACCACCTTTACAACGAATTTCTCGATATAATGCTTCATTATAGTAAACACTTCACAATAACAAGTTCAATGTATTATATGCTTCATTATAGTGAACACTTCACAATAACAAACCCAATGTATTATTTGCTTCATTATAGTGAACACTTCACAATAACAAACCCAATGTATTATTTGCTTCATTATAGTGAACACTTCACTATAACAAACCAAGTGTATTATTTGCTTCATTATAGTGAACACTTCACAATAACAAATCCAATGTATTAAGTGCTTCATTATAGTGAACACTTCACAATAACAAACCCAGTGTATTATTTGCTTCATTATAGTGAACACTTCACAATAACAAATCCAATGTATTATTTGCTTCATTATAGTGAACACTTCACAATAACAAATCCAATGTATTATTTGCTTTATTATAGTGTACACTTCACAATAACAAACTAATTGTATGTCAGAAATTCATCACAACGTTATTCAAAATAACTATCTAAACTAATAATACTTACGTGGCTTGCATATGGGACTGATTATGCTAGGAATGGCTGCCAAATGTTTATTTGATGGTTTCACCAAGACAACAGGTGTACTACATGAGGCAGAGACAACACTCGATGATTCATGGCAAAATCGTTTTAGTTTTGTGGCAGATCCTTCATTCACTAGACTTAATGGAGAATAACTTTTTCTTTTCACACTCTGCTTAGAAGTGAGTGTTACAGTTGGGTTTCCATAGGAAACATTTCTTGGGCTTGCTTTATCTTTTATTTGTGTGAATTTTTCATCCATTGTGGATGAAAGTTTGGGAGTATGTGCCAGCATCTGGACAGTGTTTTCTTCAGTGCTAGTATGTAGATGAGGTTGTTCTTGTTTACTACTACCAATATGCCTATTCTTTGAATTGTAGAATTCGTCTTGTTGTTGACGAACAGAGAACTGTAAAGCCCCATACTTTTTGACTGGTTTAAGTGGTGATGGCGGTATAACATCACTCTCATCAAGTTTATCTAAATTGAACATCAAATCAAAATTAGGTTCCGCAAAATCATCTTCATTGATTTCTGGTTCACATCCACCAACGCTACTTTCCAGGGAATGTTTTTTTATTGAGCCTTCTCCTTGTGTAATATCCTCCTTTACATGCTCTTCAATCAGCTCACTGTGAGTGTAGTTTGTCAAATCATCCATGAAATCTGGCGGCAAAATATCAAAGCAGAATGGATCGTCATCCAAATTCTCCTCCTCTTTATATATTGATGGTTTTATGCCACTGATATCGGCCACGTTTGTTTCTAAACAATCCTCTACTATATTTGAGTGTGATATCAATTTCGGGGAAGAACACAAATTTTCTGCTTCTGTTCCTATCTGTAACTCATTTAATGTTGAATCCACAAGATTCTGTTCCAAGTTTGTATCATCTAGTAGAGCCAGTGATTCCAATGAGGGAGGTGTAGCAACCATACAGTCATCTATGTCTATTTGCAGTGTGACATCCTGGGGTTTAGAGTGCGATCCAAGAGATGGGAACAACAATGACAGATTACCATCATCAGGTTTTCTGGGGCTGTTCTCACCATCTATCACCGACTTGCACATTTCTTTAAAAGGTGAAAGATCCCCAGTTTTGTCTTGAAGAGAAGAATTACTTTTTCTGTTACCTGACAAAAAAGATCCTTTCTCATCCTTCGGTGAGACACTTTTCTGTCTGATGGAATGAGACAGATTCCTATTTTCATTTCCAGCAAACACCTGTTTATTTCTTTCAAACTGGGGATTTTCTTTCCTCTCGTCCAATGAAAACAATTGTTTATTTTTGACCAAGTGTGGAGTTTCTTTCCTTTTATCCAGAGAAAACATCTCTTTATTACTGGTGATTGGAGAAACAACTTTTTTCTTGCTTTTTGGCGAGACCATTTGCTGAGCCTTAGGCATATTGCTTTTTCGACATGATGCAATTTTATCAAAGTCATCATCATTATCATTCTTTAGCACCAGTGTTATTACATTTTTCTTTGTATTTCCATGGCAATGATC